CCCCAAAAAAAAAGCAACATGGAAATTGGAGGTCATAAAATAGTTGATGTTTTTCAGAAAACCAAAAAAACTTGTCTTCCCTTCTCCCTAGCAATTCCCCTCCAGCCCTGGGATCCCTGAGCAATGGGAAAGCATGAGGCCCAGATGGAAAGAGTGAGGCCCAGGAACTCCTCCCCCTTATCTGTGGAGTAAACTTGTTCCTTGATCCTGCCTGATAAACAGGAAGGCATCGTGTCATTGGTGTCCATCCCTCTCAGAGCATCTGAGGCCTGTCTGGGTCATCAAAGCCACCCCCGATCCCCAGGAGCATTCTGGAGGGGACTCCAGCCTCACTACAAACAATTCCCCATTGTGTTCCCCCCCCCCTTGGAAATCATGGATTTGTAAACAGTCCTCTGCATTTAGATAGGTCCTTGCCCTGGCTTTGTGCTGGTGTGTTATTTTTTCTTCTTTGAACAATGTCCTTTCCAGTAGGGCCAGCCGTTCACACCATTGTCTGAGACCCTTGGACTACAGGAAACAGCACCAGATTCTTATCAGCTGGGATGGGGGGGCAGAGTGAACAGATGAGGTCATGTCCATAAAGCAAGCTGCTGGTCTGCCATATCATTCTACTATACCTTTATCTGTGAGAGCAGGGCCCCCCTCTTGTCCTCCTAACAGGCCAATCTGGGCATTGAGTGTCCCCAGTATGGTCCCCTCCATTTGATGACAGAGAACTGGACTCTCCTTCACTTTGGTATTCTTTCCAGCCCACAGCTGTTCCCTTGCTCTGGTTCCTCTCTGCCCAATGGGATGCTCATCACAGTGAAACATGCCCCATTGGTGTAGATTAGGGTACACTCTAGTCATCTTCCCCCCTGGGGGAAAGGAGTCAAGACTGGTTAGTCATCTGAGTCCCCTTCATCAGCAGAGTCCCTGAGTATAAGCTACTGACTGACTGCTGGTGGCCTGGTGTGAGGATGAGGGCAGGAATCCCCTAAGAGGCCTCCTCCCTGGAGACTGCAGTGTTTCCCATCCTCAGTGGAAAATGATTTTTTTTTAAGGCTGCATTGAAGAACCAGGAGTTTCCTTAATGAAAAATCCAGTGTGGAAAGTGAAAGGCTCCATTAGGACACAGTCTCTAAGGCAGAGGGGCTCAGCAGGGGTACCCACGGCAAAGGCATTGGGCTGGGCAGTGGGAAGTGGGCAGAGGGCCACAGCAGCCATTGCCTCATCTCCTGTGCACCAGGGGTGTGGGTGAGTCCGGAAGAGGGGCCAGGGTGGGGGCCCAACAATCCCTGAGCTCCTTATCAGGTATTGTATCCAAACCTAGCCCCACCTATTCATTCTCCCTCCACACCAGGGCCAAGTCTGTAGTCTCAGGAAACCCTAGGGATTTGATCTTGGCGTGTGTTGAACTTTCTCCTCGCTGGAGCCCCTGCAGACCAGGACTTGGGTGAGGCTGGGATGGATCCTTAGCTCGGATGGAAATTGGATGTTTCTGAGCAACTGTTCCTAGTTTTAAGAAGGCAATGTGGCTGGATAAGGGAGCCTCAATTTGCTGGACTAGCAGAAGCATGCAAACAAGTTTTTGGGGGGCCACTCATCTCTAGCTACATCCGGGGCCTCTACCATCTGGAGAGGACAGCCTGGTAGGGGCAGGCCTGCCCACTCCTCCAATTGGGAGATTCTAGGGGTGCCTGGGGCCTGAGCTGGGCTTAGTGAGTGAAAGGGAAGCACAGAAGCCATTTGAGAAAGATAAGAGGACTGCTTTCCTCCAGTATCCTGCCTCCTCCATGCCCGCTACCCTTCCTTAGAAACTAGTATGTGGACTGCAGGACAGTCACAGGCTTGGGTGAATCCTAGCCCTCCACAGAGGACCACGTGGGACACAGGAGGAGCAGGAACTGAGCTGGGGAGGAAGGTTGGGCGTGGAGGGCAGAGTCCAGGCAGTCTGGCCTGAGGTGGCTGGTCCTGTTCTGGTGCCGCCATGGGAAGCCAAGATGTGGCTGTTCCACCTGGGGAGTCAAGGCCTCCATAGTTTACAGGCTTAGAAGGCAGAGATTGATAAATTAATTTCACAGGGTAAGAGAAAGAATCTAATCAGTTTCCCAAAGTATTCTCTTCAAAACACTAGAACCGTGAGATGGTAACGCTCCACGGGGAAAAAGGGGATAGCGGACCAAATGTTTTGGGAATCATGCAGCACACAGTAGGTGTGCAAATCAATGAGAGCTCATCATGGGCTTCTCAGGGATTTCACGGGGCAAGCAAGCAAGCAGTGCACAGTTCCTTGGGGGCTAAGGAGGTAGAAATCCCCGGATTTATTTGACCATTTTTATGGAGTAATTGTTCCACAGGACACCATTTTGAAAAACACTCGACTAGTGCCTTTAACAAAGTCCCTTCCCGGATCTAAATGTGTTTGGGAAATCATAAAACAGAGACTCAAAGACCAGGGGAAGTATGAGACTTAGAGGAAAAAGCTGGCAGAGGAAGATAGAGTGAAATCCCTGAGGCAGGAAACAGGACTTAAGATGGGAGGAGGGGG